CCCCAAAACCCCAAAACCCCAAAACCCCAAAACCCCAAAACCCCAAAACCCCATTACAAATGACTTTAATTGCTATTATTATTTAATTGGACTATCTTAATATGGAAGACAGAGAAGACATGGAGAGGTTTATGAAAGAGAGCGAGAAGAGATTCAGAAAGGCATACGCTGTTGTTCAAGAGACCCTTGCCTTGATTTCTAATGACGATGCCATGATTGAAAACTACGGGTTCACTGTTCAGCAATACATTGATGAGAGAAAAGAGTGATCAGAGAGGATTAGAGATATTTCTGGGAAGATCAGGGAAATCATTAAGAACATTGGAGTCACTAAAGTTGTTGCCGGATCTGCAGGCATTGTTAGTGGATTGTTAGTTATAGGAGGCATTGTTCTTGCTCCTGTATCTGGTGGAACTTCTTTGGGGTTGACTGCAACTGGAGCAGGCCTAGGAGTAGGCTCTGGAGTAATCTCTGTGACAGCAACTATTGTGAAGGATTCTCAAATTGAAATTCACATACAACTATTGATGCAACTCATGGAAAGACTCAAAGAAAAAGATGAAGTGATGAGCGAAATAATTCAAAGACTAAATGATCACTTTTTGGAGTTGAAAGAGATAATCAAAGATAATGGAGAAGAAGCTAAACATTGGCTCAAATTTATAGTTTGGGACATTTTAAAAGGAGTGGGCTACAACATAATGTATAAAGGGTATCAACTTTATCATACACTTGATGGGATTATTTTTGCCCAGACGATTCATGCTTTCATTGGAGCAGATTTGGCAGCGATGAATTCTGTTGCAATAGGAACAGCCTCTCCTGGTTTAAATATTTTAGGCAAGACACTTGTAGTTGGGGGTACAGGTGCAGCCAAAGGTATTGCTACTGTGTCCGGTATAATTGGAATAGTCATGGGAACTTATGAAATTGTTGATGGGTCAAAAGATATTCAAGGATCTGAAGAAGCTGATGAAATTGAAAAATGTGCAGATAAACTAGATCAAAGTACTCGGGCTTATCAATATGTTCTAGACAATGCCAAAAACGCAGCTAACAATAAAGAAGTTGAAGGAGCAATTGAGAATGGAATATTTTTGACAGAAGATTGTAAAGCAAAGCTATATTCAGCTTATTCTGATGAAGCAAAGAGCTACATAGATACACCCTTGCATAATGCTAAGGTAGGACCAAAAATGCTAAAGAAATGCAAATATACATGCAACTATGAGCTTGATAGTACAATTGGGCCAATTCCTTGTGCTGATGCAAGGACTGGCTGGTCATGGAGTGAACATACTCAGTATTATGACAAGATAGATAGAGATGATACAGCCTTCACTAACCCTGTTATTCACCTAAAAACAGTTTGCTGGCTTGACCCAAGAATCGAGTTCTTTGGAGTAGAGCCAAGACAATATGCGATCTATGTGAGACAAGACCTAGACCAATACCACAACATGATGAACAAAGTCAAGGCTAGTCTCATTGTATACCTAAGAAACTATGCAGGAGATAACATCTATGAAGTTCTAGAGGAGGAAAATGTTTTTGAGACTGGAGATTATATGTGTCAGGATTTGGTCAGGGAAATCGAAGGAACTGACGGATTCCACCACTCATTCTTTGCTAATTGTGATCTCAGACATTTCTATGATAAATTGGTTGAAAATGAAGACAACTATCTTTCAGTTAAGGTCCAATTTGAAGGAGTCGATTCTCTGTCTTGGAAAGGAGGATGGTCGATTGATGGAGGATTCATGCTCCCAATTGATTAAGAATAGTTTTATCCTTGTTATTAATTTCAAAGCGATTTTCTCAATATTTCAGAGCTTATAAGGGGTTTTGGGGTTTTGGGGTTTTGGGGTTTTGGGGTTTTGGGG